TATACATATACACAGTATAGACAGACACTGGCTTGCAGATCAATGCAGTCTTTAACAATTATTGGCTAAAATACAGGCTGAGAGGGTCATATGTTGCCTTGCTTGCTAAATTTGGTTCTGTGTGACTTGGGCTAGATTTCAGAAGAGATCCTTCAAAAGAGATCAGGGTCGTGATCGTAATCAGGAGTTCCTAATTTCCAAACCTCTGGTCTGACACACATAAGAATAATTTCTAAAAGCTTTAAATGTTTTTCTAAAGCCTCCACAACATGCACAAAACTGAGCATTATGTTGTACAATAAACAATCGCAATCAACAGAAGAATTATAAATCCATCTGCCGATTTAATCAAATCCTTCCACGCAGAACAACACAGACCAGTCGACACCTCTGGAAACTGACCAATCAGTTCCCACTAAACCAAAGCTCCCACTGGCTGAGGCATTGATCATTTCTCTCGGCCTAATCGGTCCAGGATTGTCCTGGTGTAAACATAAACTTTCATCCTCTTGGCAACGCTTTCGTAATCCTGCAGAGGGGATTATACCGGGAGGTCATTTAGGAGGATCAAACCATGGGGGATTTGAAATGTATCCTGGGGGAGATTCAGGAATATGTGCTGGGTGGCTCAGGAAGAATAGGTGAGTGATGGATGGATGGATGGATGGATGGAGGAGAGGAGAGGAGAGGGAAAAAGTAGCTGCTGCTTTGTTACTTACCTATATCTGTCTCTTTGTGGTTCTTGACGAGTTCAGCAAGCTCAAAGTTCCCAGCAATAATGGCAACCTGGAAAAAGAAATAGAGTTTTTTTGGGGTTTTTTAAACTTATCTTGCAAGTTCTTTGAAACTGTATGGAAAAATTAAAGAGCACAAAAGAACAATAAAAAGGACCTATTGAGCTCATTTTCAGGTTCATACTTATATTTATGGTTTCAATTAGAACATGTTTACATGCTTTAATGGTCAAAAAACACTTTCCTCAAACTGTCTGAGCTGAAACACCTGAATTTGCACCACACTCCGTTTTTTTGCCTGTCTCGTTAAGCAGCTCTCCAAAAAAAGCCCAGTCTACTCTGATTGGTCAGCTATTGCAAGTTTTCTGAATCTTGGCATCTCTGCTCCATCACTGCAGCTGGAGAATGACTGTTACGGACTGTTACCTATAAAAGCTTCTAAACACAAATCTTTACAACCTCAAGTATTACAGCAGGAATATGATCAGAAATTGGGGATTAATTACAACATCAACAACCAAGTTCACATGTTTCCCTAAAGTTAGCATGTAGCTATATGTAGCAGTGCGCTTGCAACCCAGAAATGAATGTTTAGGCCAGCACTTTCTTCTGTTAACAAATTACCAATAAAAGCTTCTAAACACAACCACACATTTTACATTGGGAATATGATTTGAAATTGGGAGAAATTACAACATCCACAACTAAGTTTGTAGGTCCCCCTGATGTTAGCATGTAGCTGGTAATCCTGTTCGGAAACACTTCTTGTTATACTGGGTTCCAGTGTTACTTGTAATGGCTCGCCCCACTAAACAGGCTGAGAAGAGAAAGTCAGAGGCAGAAAAGGCTGCAACGAAAAAGGCTTTGGATAAAGTGAGAGGACAAACCAGACATCAACAGCAGTCCAGCTTTTGAACAGTGGAGACAACTGAGGGAGCTGAAGGGCCTGAAAAGTGATGCAGAGGTTGCTGTCTTTCTGTTGGACAGGTAATTATTTGTTTGCTTTGGGGGGATTTGTTATTTTACTTGGCTCTCCTCTGCTCTGCTGACTGCAGGATGCGCGTTCAGGCATGTCTGGGCTCGTGGCTTTGGACGGAGCACTGACGGGAGGGGGAGCAGGGGGCGGAGCTTAGAGGAGGTGCCGCTTTCAAATCTTGCTAGCTCTCCAACATTACCAACTATGGCTTTAAAGCAGATGACTATATGAAAAAGTTGTCACAATATGACATCATATTGTTGCCAAAGTAGAAAAAACATTGGAAGCAGAGTATTCAGACCATACTGAAACCTGAGGTTTTTGATCACAGGGATTGTTTTTTACATACATTTACCTCATTATCTAAAGCTTTGGCCACATTAAATATGAACAGCTGACACTGTAACATTAAATATATAACAGGAAATAAAGAAAAGCAATATAGGTCCCCTGTGAAAAGCACAACTTTAACAAAAAATAGCTCCTTGTTTATTATTCTGAGTAACAGATCATTTAGGCTTAATATAACACACACCATATGCCCATCATCAATTAAGCAAAGCTCTCTCTGTATATGAAAGCTTTTCCACAAAATAAGTTTTAAAGAAAAACAGATGACGTCGTAATTGTTTCCAAAAGCAGCTGAGTATGATCCTGAAGCGAAAGCAAATTTAATTTTAATATTTAGAAAGTACTCTAACAAGACAGAACTACTTAATTACAATAAGTATATAAGTAATTTCCTCTTCTTTGAACAGCCACTGACTTTGAACTTGGTAAAAATCCAATCTTCATGGCTTTAATCATCTGTAGCCAGGAATCTAATAATCTTTGACACACACATACACGTGTACAAGTCAAGATTCACACATGACATGATGGCGTGCACACAGCAAGCACATGCAAAGTCACAGGCTTATGTGAAGCAGAGAAAGTCAAAGCTGCTGTTTTCAAGGTTTTCTGTTGCTTACAGATTGAGGCTGGACAGAGCAGTGATAGTGATCTTACATAATTCACTAGTAAAAACTAGAAAACAAACAAAATCCAGTGTTTATTAACACATAGCTGATGTAAATTTCAACAGTTAAAGACTACAAACACTTTTCTCCCCATGGTTTTTGTAATTAAGGCTGTACCATTAGAACAGTGTTTCCTAAACTCCCAAAACAAATCTGATCGCCAGAAAACTGATCATAAGTAATGAACAAAAATATATGTATTGGTTTTTTTTCATATTGAATCCTGGAAACCTTTATAGCTGCACAAATACAAATTATTTGACAAAATAAGGTTGGTTCACTTACTAATGTATTACAAATTCCATTTTACACTTTCTTCTTCAATGTATGAAGCGCAGAGAGAACATGAGATGTGATAGACAGCACAGAAAAAAAAAGTTAGTAGTGTGAGTGGACCCTGAGCTCTGATTATTTTATCAAACTACTATTTCCACGGTCAAGTGCGAACTTTCATTTTTTTCAAATAAATCAAAATCAAAATGAAAATAATCCATCTGCACCAAAGGAAGTACACAGAAATAATAAGCATGGTAATTGTCTGGTAACATGTTTTATTTTCTGGTGTATTATTTCTACTCTGAATAGTTGGTGTCTAACTGATGTCTGACTGTTGTACACCAAAAATAACTAATTCCTCTTCTTGCCAAATTGAAGCAATTTTACTTCTGAAACTCTGATCAACTGGCCAGATCAGTGTGTCCTCTGTATTTCCGCCAGGGGGCAGTAAAGGGATTTCCTCCTGAGCTGGCTGGAGAGGCTGTTTCACTGTCAGTGACCCAGATCAGGCTGCTGCCTGTTGTCATGTTGCTGCTTACAGTTGTTTGTGCAGGAGCAGAGCTCATGGGGTGTTACAGTACCTCTCAAGTTAGGATCAGAAAGATAGTCAGGTTCATTTGCCACTGATATGTTGCACATGTATGCTTTCACACAAGTGCGTGCATGCACGCACACCTCAAGGGAAACCCAGTAGCATTATATAAGCATGCCTGCTCTGATTCTTGGAGAACAAACATTCAGGATGAAGAGATGGAAAAGGTGTTTTATTAAAGCAGAGTTGGCTTGAGTAGTAACACTCTACTCCCTCCCTCCACAGCTGACCTTTTCTTCATATAAATAAAAACACAGAATTACTGAGGAAGAAAAGCCCTTGGGATTCTCTGAGATGTTTTCTTCCAGCATGGATCCTCTTACATTTTTCAACACGTTGCATTAATATACAATATATTCTATATTTCCTTTGAACTGAACTATGAGTCAATGAATGCAATCTTTCCCTCCTTCATGGTAGCAAATGTGTTGTCTACTGTGAGGGAGATGGAGGAGGGGGATGTATCCTTCATGATGAATGCTGGCTGGATCTCCCACTCACTCTGAGGATCTCCCATAGTGCATGCCGCGATGTGTGACAAATCTATGACAGGCTATTCTCCCACAGGAACCCTGATCCCAGGACTGGCTTGGTGGATGGGACCGAGTAATACATCAGGAAGAAGTGACTGAGCGACTGATGAAGTCATCATTTCCACTGTGGCCTAAAAACTAATTGATGCAGAACTAACTGTAATTGTATGATGCTGGAAGTTATCAGTAAAGTTGTAACACTCTGCTTTTCCACACAATAAAGACAGCACTCTGAATATCTTACTAATTCTTTTTGTATTGGACACGTGAGACATCCTAACATGATATAACACTCCATAAACTGTTTTGTGCTAATAAAACACAGTACACATGCCTATCCTTTTGAGTTTACTTTACTTTCTCCAGAATGTTCTGATTTTTGATCTGAAGGTCAAAAGATGGCTCAGCAATTTGGTTAACCCCCCCCCCCCCCATGTCTGGGTTGCATAAAACTGTTGTTTCAGCAGCATTTGACTTAAACTATATTTTAATGAGTAGTTAGGACCTGCTTCACACTACAATAGTAATTTAAATGCTGATGAAACGAAATGATATATGTAACCTTTTCAAACAATTTATCATGATCTCTTGATGTCTTTTGACTTTAAATCACCAAATCATTGCTAACAGTGTCTGCCAAAACAAAGTCAGTGAAACTCAGGATGCCCTCTTATTCCCTGCTGAAATCAGAGCCACCTCCATCACATTATCCAAGACACTATTGAACTGATTTTGGCAATGTCACAGAGATGCATGTCATTCTTCCATCCGGGCATTTTAAAGTCAGAAATTTTGACCCAACAGAGGAACTCTAAAACAACCTGACCAGGTATATCAATGGTTAACCCTTAACCTCAGTTAACCGCCGAGAATATTTTGACCACTTACACATGTCAGTCTATCAGTTAATTCTGCTGCTCTTCAGTTTACTGCACCGCACCCTGACCAGGTCTGGTAGCAGGGATGACATGCTGCAAAGGGCCACAGCTTGGAACCCTGACGCCCAAAAAAGCCCTTTGAAAGGCTAAAAAATGGGAGAAACCTGAGGAAGAGCAACTGGATCCCTTTCCCAGGACAGACAGAAATGCAATAAATGTTGTGTGTACTTTCAGTCTCTGGTTTGGGTCAAACTCCCCCATGCCTCAAGTTTGTAATGCAGGCTTTCTGTTAAAACTTTGATGGAGTGTTCCTTTAATAAAAAAGTGATTATTAAGGACAAAAAAAGACATTACTGCTGCTTTAAATGAGCAGTACCTCACTTAGTTTCTCGGATGCTGTTTTCATAAAATTAGGGGGATGATAAATCTCATAATTTGAGGCAGTGAAGTGCAGTTATCCCAGGAGACGGAGACAGAGTGCAATTTAGTCCCACCTAAATCAGAAGGGAAAACAATGAACCTCTCTCCACTGACTGTATTGCGTGAAGGTACCTGCTTGTCACTTCTGTCTGCTTGCAAACAACAGAAAAATGCCTACAAGCTGCTGTGTGGTGGGATCTATTATCAACAGGGTAAAGAACTCTGAACAAAGTTTTTATAAGCTGCCCAACAGAAAAACTGAGCCTTTAAGAAGACAAAAGTGGATACAGGTGATAAGATACGAGGCATCAGTAGGAGGAATGACAAAACTGTGGGATCCTGACCCACTGAAAACCTG